CTACGGTGGCCGATCGGGATCTCGGGCGTTTGCAGTAGCGGGTGACCCGTTGCTGGCTGTCAGCGGCAATATGTCTGCGCCGGATTCGCGGTGCCGCCACGGAGGCCGCCATGTGGCGGGACCTGAATTGCCGTACAGAAGGCAAAGGTGCAAGTTCGCAACCAGGAGCCCGGGAGAGCAGGAAAGTTAGAAGCTCCAGAAATTGTCACCCTTTCCCGGCACTTCTACGCTTGTGGAAAAGGAGTGTCTTTTCAGAGATCCGAGGTTCTTGCGGCAAATGGTGCAGCGAGGAAAATATCGGTCAGTGGGCGCTAGGCAAAGAAGTCATATGGGCCCTGACCGGTTTGGCTCAGTGGATAGAGCGTCAGCCTATGGACTCAAGGGTCCCAGGTTCGATTCCGGTCAAGGGCATGTACCTGGGTTGCGGGCACATCCCCAGTGGGGAGTGTGCAGGAGGCAGCTCATCAATGTTTCTTTCTCATCGATATTTCTAACTCTCTATTCTTCTCTGTAAAAAATCAATACAATTAAAAAAAAGAAGTCATATGACCTCCGCCTTTATTTTACAGTTTGTGTGTGTGTGCGTGTGTGTTTTTTTAAAAAAATATATTTTATTGATTTTTTACAGAGAGGAAGGGAGAGGGATAGAGAGTTAGAAACATCAATCAGCTGCCTCCTGCACACCCCCCACTGGGGATGTGCCCGCAACCAAGGTACATGCCCTTAACCGGAATCGAACCCGGGACCCTTCAGTCCCCAGGCTGACGCTCTATCCACTGAGCCAAACCAGTTAGGGCTGTGTGTGTTTTTTAAAAATATATATTTTTATTGATTTCAGAGGGAGGAAGAGATAGAAACATCAATGAGAATCACTGACCAGTTGCCTCCTGCACGCCCCCTATGGGAGATGGATCCCACAACAGAGGCATGTACCCTTGACCAGAATCGAACCTGGGACCCTTCAGTTCGCTGGGCAACGCTCTATCCACTGAGCCAAACCACCCAGGACTAATGCATACCTTTTTTATGTGATTCTAATTACCATTCTACTAGTTCATGCATGATATTATTATAGCCACTTCATATTAATTACATATAGATCAGCGGTGCTCAACTTGTGGGTCGAATGACCCTTTCACAGGGATCTCCTAAGACCATCGGATAACACATATATAATTACATATTATTTTTGTGATTAATCACTATGCTTTAATTATGTTCAATTTGTAACAATAAAATTGGGGGTCACCACAACATGAGGAACTGTATTAAAGGGTTGCGGCATTAGGAAGGTTGAGAATCACTGATATAGATGGACATAAATGTTTTATAATATGGAAATACTTATGAGAAATTAAAATGAAATTAGATTATACATTTTTCCCCAGTTTGAGATATAGTTGACAAAGATTAGACCTACTTTATTTATTTTCACTGCAGGATATTTTTTTCATTGATTTTTTAGAGAATGGAAGGGAAGGGAAGAGACAGAGAGAGAAACGCTGAGGCACATCAATTGGTTGCCTGCCAAATGCACCCTGATCAAGGCCAGGCATTGAGCCTGAAACAGAGGTACATGCCCTTGACTGGAATCAAACCCATAAGTCTTGTAAGACTGAGAGCAGAGGGCCCAGGTAAACTGTGTCTCAACTTCTGACTGATAGAAACTGAGATAATAAATGTGTGTAGTTTTAAACCAGTTTGTGGAAATTTGTTACCCATCAATAGAAAACAAGTACAGTGATTGATACAGAAAATTTTAAATAACAAAACTAGTGAGAAGCAGCTAAACCAGTATATGGAGAGAAATTTATATCCTGGTTTATGCTCTAAACTTTCAGATACATTAGTTCACTTAAATTCACAACATCTCTTGGAAAGCCTGTTCAAGGCACACAGCTAAGGGGGAGAGCACTACAAAAGTGAAAGATTTGCTCAGGCCACTTACTCTTCAGCCGAAATTATTTTCAGATAAAAGACTGCTCAACTAGAAAATGTCAGTAATACCAAGAGCAATGCAATTGCTCTATTAGACTACAAAATGTAGAAGCCAGGGCCCAGCTGGCGTGGCTCAGTGGTTGAGCATCAACCTGTGAACCAGGAGGTCACAGTTTGATTTCTGGTCAGGGCACATGACTGGGTTTTGGGCTCAATCCCCAGTATGGGGCATGCAGGAGGCAGCCAATCGATGATTCTCTGTCATCATTAATGTTTTTATATCTCTCTCCCTCTCCCTTCCTCTCTGAAATCAATAAAAATATATTGTAAAGTAAATAAATAAAATTTAGAAGCCAGGAAATTTTTTAAAAAGGCACTACTGCCTAGCTGGTTTGGCTCA